AAATAGCTAAAATTAAACTTCATTTTTGATGTCTTCACTATCCTGCATCCAACATTTGGAGTTTTTATTTTCAGAGATGGAGTTTGGGGTTTTGCTTTGCTTTCGCTACTCATCGTTTTTGAAGGCTCTTATACAATTATTATGCGAGCCGGTGATGAACGGAAATGGTATGTTTCTCACAACTTGCAATCAGTTTCAGTCATCGTCTTCTTTAACAAACAAGACTTTGTACTCCATAACACAATAGGTTAACCAGTTCATATTCTTGTAAATCTGTTTTCAGGTTCTGCACCTCTCTACTGCTCTACATCGTAGCTACCGCGCCGCCAATATGGCTACTAGAAACAAAGATGTGTGAGTGGAGAAGAGAAGTCGAGTTGCATGGAGAAAGCAAGATCCGCATAGGTAGGCTCGTTCCAGATAATCAGGAAATTTACTGTATACGAATTTTCGCCGTACCTTACGACAGTTACCTACAACGAACATCCTCATTCCCTCAAGGTAAAAATTGCTAAACGTAATGCTTTCAGGTGGAGCTGAAGAGGAGCTTCGCCTTCAGCTTCTTGAGCAGCTCCTGCTAGTGGTGCTTATTATCGGGAGATGGCTTCTTCCAAAAGGAGATATTAGCCGTGAACAATTGTCACAGATCTTACTAGCTTATTTAGTATGCCTTATTTTTTTTCCAGCACCCGTTGTCCTCACAACATTTTTTTCAGGCGATCTCCTCCGATATTGTCGAATTTTTTGATGTTTTCAAGGAAAAGCCTGTTTACAACAATGTCGGCGTCCAACAAATCGTACTTGCTGCTTGGACGGTTAGGCTTGTTTTCGCTTCTCGCTACTTAGTGCCGAAGTTTTCTTTTCAGCTTAGTCTTTTACAATTTCCATTCGTGCTCACAGTCAGCCGAGCTCGCAAGATGAGGGTTGCCATTACGAAGACTTACGAAGAATTGATACTGCCGACGAGACCGCCTAATTTTTGGGAGGTATGTATGGGCTGATATTCTATTATTCAAATCCTCTTTATCTATATATATAAAAATCA